CAATTTAATAATTTGATGCTCAATTTGACATTTTATTAGAAAGATGTTAATGTACTGAAAAATTGTAAATAAATTTATTGCGAAAAATATTACCTCGGCTGGGAGTCGAAACCGGATCTCTTGTATTTCATACGAGCGTCCTAAACTTTTAGACTACCGAGGCAGTTTATTTACAGTTTTTCAGCATATTATTAACATCTTTCTAAGATACCAGATTGAATATCAAATTATTAAAAATTGCTTGTCAATTTAATTTAATTTGTCATATTATCACAGTATTTTAAAAAATTGAAAATATTATTAAAATAGTTTAATTAAAGAAAAACATTTTTTACACTTTTTCATACAAAAATGTAAAACTCTAAAACAAAAATGTTTAAAGGAAAAATGTGTTTCAATATCTTAAAGTTGACATTTCAAATTACAAAAGAATAGTTCAAGCGTCGACTGTCCAAAAATTTAATCTAAAAATGTTTTTTTTTATGTGAATAGCTATAAATTGCTATAAATTGAAGATATAGTGCATTTATATTTTAAACAATGCATTTTGTTATTGCTATTGTGTTAAAAAAAATTATAATTTATTAGGAAAATATTCTTTATAACATATAGATAACAATATATAATATTACAAGCAACATTTAACACAAGGGTGCCAAAAACCATCGTATTTATTAAGAGTTAATATGTTGTAGGATTAAATTTTTTAATAATTCGCGAAATCTTCCCGCGATACAAACAAGAATTAGTTGAAAATAAAGAAAAAATAAAATTTTTTCTATTACAAAAATGTACACTCTATACATATAATGGATCATTTGTGATCCAGAGATGAACTTCAAAGTTATTCTAGTTAAAGGATACTCATGAATTGAGGCCGGCAACGTACAAAACTTGTTCTCTAGATGCCAAATTTTTTTTAGGAACAGAAAAGAGACCGATATTTGATCAAGTGCTCTTAGTATTTTAAACAAAAGAGATACGTGAACGATCTAAAAGTGTAGATTAAGAGTTAATGTGCTATATTATTTATTATATCAAACTATTATTACAGCTCATTTCTATTTTGTCTCTTCTTCTTTATGACTATTAAAAAGTATAACAAAGCTATTTAAATAAAATAAGACATACAAATTAACTTATGGACAAAGAAATTAATTTGCAACCTATGTGTTTACTTCATAAGGATACTTAAATCTTGTTGTACATTAATAATTGCACGAAATAAAATGTGAATACATTAGGATGTATCCAAACATATTATTGAGCCGTAAGCATTTCGGTTAACTTTCATTGTTTTTTGTCGAGCCGCGTAACAAATGTTTACCGAAATGCTCGCGATTCGATGTTTGGCTTGCGTTTCAGCTCGATAATATGGACGCACTCTAAACACGTGGTGTGCAATACCTGTATATTTCAATACACGTGCAACCATATATTGAGATACATGGATATACATGTCCTTCAAATCATGTATTTTAGATACACATGAAAAAGAGATCACTATTTTATTTATTTTAAATCACAATCCTGGCCTAAACACACAAACTGAACAATAAATACAAGAGAAACTTACACGGACGTGAGTTGCGGGATGATGTTAACGCAGGCAGCGAGCTTGTTTTCGACTAGACCTCTTTGTGAAAAGAAAAAGAGAAACGCGTTAAAGGAACACTTCTCATCGAGGCGTAACAATAATTTTCATCATTTCCTAGTGTTACTCTTACCGTGCTAATCTTTTCGCAACTGCGTCGTCTGGCACGGTAACGTACGCCACAGAATGCACGCCGGCGAGACTCGACATGTTTTGGTAAATCTGGGAACGGATACTCCGTGCTATGCAAAGCAGCATCAACAAAGTCACGAGAGTGGCTCGCGTCATTTACCAGTTGTTTACTACAGAAAGCCGGCAAGACTTTATTACTAGGCTGATTCCAACCTCGATCAAACGCTGATCAATATACATATGTAGAGACCACGTGGGTAAAGCGAGGTAAGTCAGTGTTGCCATAGTGGTAGAAATTGAAACTTTTATACATATCTTGCAGAATACAATTCGTCCTTATTATTGCTCTCTACATATTCTATTGGAAATTGGAATTCATATCTCAATTATAATGCTTTATATATCAATTTGACTTTTACATTTCCAGGACTAATAATATATACTAAAATTTCAGCCAATTTCACCGAGGGCCAAAATCCTATGATTTTGTGCGGGGGGTCCTTTATTTACATTGTACAGTGTAAACTACAAGATTTCACTATTAGCGTATCTCGTACATTAAATCACCGACGAGATACTATTAAAGACTAACATCCTTACTCCCTCCGGGAGTTCGCGTCCTTGTGAATATTGAAATAATTCAGAGTAAAAAACTGAAAATATTGTACTAATTTTATGATTTATTAGTTCAGTAGATATATTTATGCATTTAGAACTCAATAATAATCGATTTTTCTATAAAATTGTGATTTCAGTGTTATTGTCAAAGTTTGATTATCAACAAAGATGATAACTGCAGAGAAAAAATTGTAATTTTTCTGCAATATATAAGATATTATAGCTTTACAAGTATGTATATTTATTTATGGAACATTTATGTAATAAAAAATCATGAATTTATTAATGTACGAGCCAAATATTTATCTTAATAATAGCAAATTTATATCAATTGTTGATAATGTCAGCGCTCTTCAATTACCCTTGGGGTAGTCTTTTTATATCGCCGAAAATTTGCTCAGGATTGACGGTCTTTAATAATACCTCGTCGGTGATTAAATTCAATTTTAGTAAAATTATTAAACATATTACTGCGACTGCTTTGACGCCGCCATGTAAAGGCACCTTAATATCGATACCGTGGCTGCGTTTATGCATGATGCGCATGATCAGAAAGGTCTCTCTTTGGCATGGTGCATCATTTATCCTTGTTTAATATTCGGTGAATAACAAGGATAAATATTGTATCACGTGTGAAACCACGTGAAAGAAAAAACAGCCCGCGTTTTGTCAATAGTTTGAAGTCGGGAGGCTTTTGTTACATACATATGCGTAACATTTGACTGTTTGACCTTCGTTGGAAGATGTTGAAAAGTAGGCTGGCATAATTAGATATAACTAAAAGAAGAAATGCGCATATGAAATATCTTGTGATTCTCCATGAGTCGTGTATAATTTTTTTAGAATATATTCCGTTACGCTCCGTGTGATGAGTCGAGAGATTGCATGAACGGTAAGTACGATTTTTTGATAATCTTGTAAAAGATACTTTGGCATCTATAGTCAAATAATAGCAAAATTTGTGCATTAATTCTAATTTTAAAAAGAACATAAATATAATTAAAGTAAATATGTTTTCTTATAAAATTTTTTTTTCTTGTAAAATATTTTGTCTTATTAATGGATGTGGTTTATTTTTATTTAATGTTTATTTTTTTTTTATTTGATGAAAAAGGCATTGTATTGACTGAATCCCTTCATTTGAGACTTACTTAGAAATATTGAAAGTTGCACATCAACCAGGCAAGGCGTTATGAATGTGTTTTAGACAAATATTTGATAGTATTGGAATACTATAATAAAATGTGTAAATGTCTTTTTCTTTAAGACTCCATTACTTAGTTGATGTTTAGAAGCTTCCAACTTGTTCTACGAATTACAGCATATGTTTTTGATCTTGTTTAACTTTTGATATTACTTTCAATAATTGTATGTATTTATCTTAAATTAAACTTTCAAGTTTGACTATTATGTATTGAATAAACGGATGTATTTGTATACATTTTTAATATTTGATAACTCAAAAATAATTTAAGAAACATAGACTGTTTTAACTCAAACAAATTAAACTTACTACATATATAGTAATAAAATATGAATTGTGTATGAATCTCAAGAAATATTGTTAAATATCTAGTAATGGTGTGATGGGTATGATATGCCTCTATGCTGTGTTCCCAATACATTTAATATATGTTTAATGTAACACTGTTATTGCAGATGTGTGATAATACGGTTACCGTTGCTTTACGTATCCGTCCATTAGTAGACAATGAGCTTGAAAAAGGTTGTCAAACATGTTTAGATGTTACACTTGGAGAACCGCAAGTCCGTATACGCAATACTGACAAAGCGTTCACATACAATTATGTGTTTCCTCCTCACATTGGACAGGAAGATTTTTATAATACAGCGATTAAACAACTCGTAGATAATATCTTTCAAGGTAAATATTTCATATTTTTTCAAGTCTTTATATTTTTTAGATAGAATGTTGCGTCTGCGTTACATTAAAGATATTTTGTAGGCTATAATGTTACAATATTAGCATATGGACAGACTGGAAGTGGTAAAACCCATTCTATGGGTACCAATTATACAGGTGTGGGAGAAAAGGGTATTATACCAAGAGCTATATATGATATATTTGAGGTAATTAAATCCAAGGAAGATTGGAGTTTCAAAGTAGCAGTCTCATTCATGGAATTGTATCAAGAACAATTGTATGATCTTTTATCTGATAAGCAGAAAAGCCAATCCATTGTAGATATTAGAGAAGATAATAAAAACATAAGAATTGTCGGTATAACTGAGAAACCAGTTGAAGATGCTCAAGAAACGTTAAAATGTCTGGCCCAAGGTTCCTTGGGTCGCGTAACAGGTGCAACCGCAATGAATGCACATAGCAGTCGTAGTCATGCTATATTTACATTATGTATACATCAGCAAAAGAAAGATGATCCGTGAGTAATTGTTGCTTTCTAATTCCTACTACTGTTTTTTATTCTATCATTCTAGCTTACGACAAAACGTATGAAGATGGAAATAATTCGACTTTTCAAACAGGAATACAGCGACAGTGGCGAAATTTCATTTAGTTGATTTAGCGGGTTCCGAACGTAGTAAAAAAACTCAAGCAACTGGGGAACGATTTAAAGAAGGTGTGAATATAAACAAGGGATTATTGGCTTTAGGCAATGTTATTTCACAACTCGGTGATGGTGCCTCTGGAACATATATCGGATACAGAGACAGTAAACTTACAAGATTGTTGCAAGATTCCTTGGGTGGTAATTCCATGACTCTTATGGTTGCCTGTGTCAGTCCTGCTGGTTGGTATTCGCACACTCTTATTCTCTTCTGCGCCCTCATTTGTCCAACTAGCTATGCCTACTACTGTGTATTCTAACAAATTTCAACATCTATTAAATTATGAAAACTCTATTTGCAGATTATAACTTGGATGAAACTCTTAGTACATTGAGATATGCGGATCGCGCACGCAAGATAAAGAATAAGCCAATTGTGAACCAAGATCCGAAAGTAGCAGAGATCAATCGGTTGAACAAATTAGTTCAAGAACTGCGGCTGGCTCTTGCGAATCAGGAATTTGGCATAACATGTCCGAAGGAACACGAGGCACTCGAGGAGAGATATAGTGTATTACAACAAAAGTTTAGAGATATGACGGAAAAGTTGAATTCGAATTTAGGAGAAATCGTAGTTATGCACGAACGAGCGGAGATGGCCGAACAGGCTCGGGAAAAAATCAGATTTACTATATCGTTATTACTTGATGAATTTAAGCAAGTTTTACAAGATTTCGATTCTTGTCCCGAAATCGACGATGAAAAGCGAAATAAATTAAAAGCGATATATGAAAAGATGTTAGGTGAGTTTTTCTGTGTGTGAACATTGCATTAATTATTTTTTTATAAACTACAAACTTGATGTTATTTTATGCGCATAGATATCCAAAATAATGAGAAGAAAACATCCGAAGAACTTATAAATCATAAAATATCCAACTCCAAACATTGTGTCATGCATACGGAAGAAGATATAGAATGTGTACGTACAGAGAAATTGAACGACATCGAGGATAATTTGGATTACTTTGATAGAAAGGAAGAGGAACACACACTACGGCAAGCGGAGCGAAATAACGAAGTCCAAACTATTAATAAGGAATTGGCACTCAAAGAAAGCCTTGTGTCGGAACTGTTGAAAAATGTAACGCAAGTAACCGCTGAAAGTCGTAAGAATGTCATAGAGATGGAACAAGAAATCAAACGACTACATGCGGAAAAAGAGGAGAATTTACAAGCGGTTCATTCTCACAATGTCAGTTCTAAGTAAGTTATTTTAGAGAGCGCTTTTGCCGCCTAGCTTCTCTATTTATCTTTTTAGTAAGTTTAGTTTTTACAAATACAAAGATTGTTTATGTCTCTTCTTAGTACATTCCCTGAGTTTGGTTTTTTGACCCTATTTGAGGGGTCACAATACCATGCGTATCAATTATTAGTTTTTTAGCCTTTTCGGAGAGCAGAGGCTCGCTTACTTTTGGTAGAAATTTGCATTCTTACTCTTTAGTGTTTGTCAATACTCGAAGGGACCTACAATTTAACGCCGAATCCGAACGGCGAACGCGAAAAATCGTGTATGCGGGGCGCAGGTAGGATTGAACCTGGATCCACAGATCAATCAATCGCACCGAGTGGCGAACCACTCGGCGCCCCTATTTATGCCTCGATTCCACGTAAATTGTGAATCGAAAATCGTGGTATATATGAAAGGGATCGAACTCAAGATCTGCCGATTAAGAGTCGACTACTCTCGCATTGAGCCATGCATTACTACGTATCATTGATACATTTTGTGGTTTTAAAACTTGTACCCTCGATTCTGTAACTGTTAGTAACGACACAGTATCAGCTTTTTTTTTATTATAAAGTCTTAATATTGGTTTTTTTTATTTTATATATATATATTGTATATATAATGTCTGTTATGTAATGATAATGTAATATACAGGTCTGTTAAGTAAGGTCGAAATTGCATTGGGGGTGTAGAATGGGTCAAGGAGAACGTAATTTCCGCAATAGTTAACAAGATATTAATTATTAAAAATGGCCGAATATTGGTCTTCTATAATTTTTTTCTCAAATATATTATCAATTTTACAAAAAAACTTATAAGAGATAAAAATTGTTTATTTTCTTCTCATAGGACTCTAAGAATTTTTTCAGAATTTTTTATCAACTTTTTAGTACTGCATTTTCTTATTTTTATTATCATGAGAAAATACGGTATTAAAAAATTCTGAAAAAATTCTCAGAACTTTATGAGAAGAAAATAAATAATTTTTGTCTCTTGCTGTTTTTTTGTAAAGTTGGTAATACTTGAGTAAAAAATTATTAAAGACCAATATTCGGCGATTTTTAGTTACTGATATCTTGTTAACTATTGCGAACATTGCAAAATGGTAGAGGACTTTTCGACTTAATTTGATCTGCTCTACCTGCGCACGAAATATTTGATGGTTATTCTGAGACATCCTGTAACGATAATGTAACAATATTGCCGTGAAGAGTTATAAAGAATATGGGTACTAATCGATAAGTGTACTATTAAGTCTTTCGCCTTTTGTTCTAAGCTTTAAATTGTGACGCGACTTTTTTCTAGATTTTTTCTAAGAAATCTTTTACTTTAAGGCGTAAACTTTAAGTAAGCTAATCAGATCTCAACTGTAAAGTTTACAGCTTAGGATTAATTAACGTCTCATAGCTTAAAGCTTAAAAAAAGACTTATTACACCTATTGTAGACAGAGTCTAATACTTTATAATGCTTTTTGTGCACAGATTGGCTGAGACGCGTCGTAAAAGAGTGCAAGAACTGGAAAAAAAGATAGCGGAATTGACACGTAGATGCATGGAACAGAATAAGATAATCAAAGCGAAAGAGAAACAGGATCAAAGAATTAAAACTCTCTCCAGTGAGATACAATCGTTAAAAGAAACTCGAGTCAAGCTTATCAGACAGATGCGCAACGATGCAAATAATTTTACAAAGTGGAAACAATCCAAGGAAAAGGAAATTATTAAATTAAGAACGCAAGATCGTAAACGTACTTACGAAATGCTTCGCATGAAAATACAACATAATAAACAGGAGAATGTTTTTAAAAGGAAAATGGAGGAAGCTTTTGCAATTAACAAAAGATTAAAGGTACGTTTCTTTGCCAATAATAGGTGCGTTCAGTTTTCATTGTAAGCATTATTTCATTCTTATTGTCTATTAAATGTTAAACAAGGACAAATAATGCTTACAAGCGCTGTAGATTCCGCAAAATGGACCGTATCTATGATCTATTCTGTCTAATAATAGGCTTATTACATGTTGACATTTCATAACGGCATTTCTACTACGCGAGCTATTAAGCTGAGTGATTTATTTATGGCAGGGTGCTTTGGAGATGCAGAAAAAGGCGATGCAACGACAAGAAAAGAAGGTCAATAGCGAAGAAGAGATAAAAACTTGGATCGCGCAAGAAATGGAAGTATTAATGGCCATCGTAGAAGCAGATTATTCTCTTGAAAAACTAATGCAAGATAGAGCTTCATTGGTATATCAATTGGAGCAACTTAAAAAAAATAATGATCCGGATGAAAAGGAGCTTGCAACTGTTACTGAATTCATAGAATTGCGTAACATACAAATTGCAGATCTGCAACAAAAGCTTCTTGAGTCAGATCAGGGTAAGATCTCTGTTAAGTTGATTTGGGTAATTTTACTGAGCGGGGAGCATTGAGAGTCACTTTACTAGCAAGTGCGGTAATCCGTCAATAAGTTTCTTTTTCTTTAGAAACTAAAACAAATACTCGATGGAATATGATACGTACAATAATAGACGCAAAGGTAGCACTTAAAACAGCATTTAATATAGTTACACAAGACAGGAAGCAACTATGTTACAAATATAACGAATTGAAAGTAAGTATATATCATAGAGAAATATTGCATGTTATACGTATGATGTATATTTATATGTATATATTATCCATATTATGTGGATATACATAATATGCCGCCAAGTCAATTATACAAAGATAATTGACATTTTAGGAAAAGTACCAGAATCTAGAAGCACGACTAGAAGAGTATGAAAAACAGGAGAGAGTAAATAAAATATCTTGTTCGCAAGATTTATCTGATACTAGCGATACTGAAAAATCTTTGACAAAATCTGTAAAAAGACAGGTATAATTGATTTTATGAAACGTTTATAAAAAAAAGTAAATATGCTCTGTGTGCTTACTCAGAAAAAAGAATGAAATTATTATTATTATGCGTTTTAGGTTTCGACAGAGAATTTAGATGGAAATAAAAAATTATCGCCCAAGAAAAGAAAGACGGAAAGTAAAATAAAAAAAGAAATATTCGACGAGAATGCTTACTTATCGTACGATGACAGTTTAGTAATAGAAGACGATGTCGATAAAGATCCAGATTGGAAGAATACGCCGCTTTATAATCGCATACAAAAATTACAGGTAAATTTATATTACAGAAACTGTCTTAATTACGACAAATGTCATATATATCTTATCGATACTTATTTGTTTCTGTGCCATTTTTGTCATCCAGTTTTTGTTACTAATAACGGGAATCTCGCAAAGTGTTAAATTCTGATTTTAATGAAACTTTGTACACACAGATTACATAAAAAGATGAATTAAATCAGTTGCGGCGGAAAAAAAAAGATTTTAAGGGATAGAATTATCTTCTTATAGGGTAACGTGGGTTTTAGCTTTTTTCATAATATCTCTGACTGTTCCAGAGATCAAAAAATATTTTCTAAACAATGATTTTTGTAATAATTTTAATTATCTCTATTTACACTCACGTTAATAATTGTTTTTAAAAAAATAATTAAATATAACAAATAAGGGATGATTTCACTTTTAGGGACTCTGCGCAATCAAAGAAACAGAGAATAAGAATTTCAATCATTCGAAAACTATGCATTGTGGAATACATAGTTTCTGACAGGTTGAAATTCTTATAGCATATTAGATTTACTAAGCCCGAGTTAATGGTCTGTTTCGGTTTAGCTCCAAAAGAAGAGCTAAATTGTGCAAGAAATGCAGCTAAAAAAAAACAAAATGTCGGCTCGAAGTCAATAAGTAAATCGAATACGCTATTAATTCCTGTTCCTGTTCTTATTTCTTGATTATGCGCTAGTCCTTTAAAACTGTTTTTCCGCAACTGATATTTTCTAAATTCATCTTTTTATATAGCCAATATGTATATAAAGTTTCATCAAAATTAGAATTTAACACTTCACGAGGGTCTCTTGTTGTATGTACAAAAAAGTGCAAAACATACAAAAACTACATAGTCTGTATAATTGCGTGAAATTATATAGACGTGAAATTTCAATAATTGTTTTCTTTATTTAGAATAAATCGAAATTCTCAGTTCAACAATTGACCTTTAACAAGATAGAACCTAATAATGAGATAAAATGTACTTGTAAAACAAAATGTGCTACGCGGATATGTACGTGTCATAAGAATAACGTTACCTGCAACAACTGTGACTGTGATTCGGAACAATGTCAGAATAGAAACAAAGAGAATGTAAGTGTCACATTATATTATATTTAGATACATATCATATTTATGTGTCTAGATATTATATTAATTAGTATATATATATATAGTATATGTATACACTATCAATTTTTATTCGCATTTTTCTTTCCAGTTGCGTACTACGCTGTTTTCAGACGTTGCAATGTCAGATGAAGCGAGATGTGATTAGAAAAGAAGATGAATAATTTTTTTCCAATTGCCTGAAAAGTACATTTATTTCATAGTATTATACTCATATTGTATATATTCTAATTTCTATCACAAATATTTATTTCACTTTTTATATTTTGACATAAACATGATAATTTTTTAATTGGCCAATTAGCGATACATGTGATGTGTGCAATCGGAGTCTTCCCCATTTGTTTACATTTTATGTTTTGTACAATAATATCGATTACTTATATAAGTCGTAATATTATGTATTATTAATGTCTAATTACCAATTTTATAATCGAATTTATCATATAAATCGAGCTATCAGAGAAAATTGACCAATCATAGTCAAGGGCCCGGACATTTTGCCTTTTTTTTCATCAAAATGATTATAAAAATTACAAAAATATATATTTCGACTTGATCGCAGTACGGGCTATATATGTGCTGAAGATGTGTGCATATGCCCGACTCGATTGGTCAACTGATTTTCGAGATATCATGGGAGCCTATTTGAAAAATATGGTTTCGAGAAAAACGCGTTTAAAGTTTTTTATACTGATTATATAGAGATAATTTTACTTACGATCAGCTAAAATCTTCTTTTTTTCCATGTTCTGTCGCCGCAAATCGTTAAATGTGTTGCAACATTTCCAGCTTCTTCATTTTTCTTCTCATCACCAAATTCGTTTGAAATAGGAAAGTCGATATCTTTCGAACCTCGCAGTTTTTTTATGAAAACGAGCCGAAGATCGCTCCCTATTAGATGCTATAACTTTGTTAATTTTGCAAATCGAGCTTATTCTTTTTATAAACATATTTTCTATATTTGCAAAATATGTAAAAAAAAATTTGATTTTTTTTACCTGCCAGATTATATAGAATATCCCCTTAAGCCATAAAAAAATGGACGAATAATAGTCAATTATTCTTCTCACATTCAACTGTAATTGATCAATTTCTTAAGGCTTAAGGCTTAAAACATCTATTATAGATCCAGATTTGCTGCTGAGTCACTATTCTCACTTTACTCACTATTTTGAAAAAGGCTCATTTTTGCTCACTTTTTCAGTAAAAACTCGCTATTCTCATTTTTTTCCCGATACAATTGTATTATTCTGTGTTTGCTATAATTTCTGTCTAATAAGTTATATATTTTTTTAAATTTTTGCTGCGTGTTTCCATTTCTTTTTTGTGAGTAGATTTGAATAATTTGAATCTCCTGCCATTATATAGTGGCGATTCTTTTACTTTATTATTGATTATTTAAGGATGGTTTTCATTATAATTTACAGTTATTCCAATCCACATAAATTAAATCAATTTATTGAGTCATAAAAAGTGTTGTCATGTTATCATATGTACTTGTTCCATGTAAGATAATAGCTTTATCAGTATGAAAAATTTATTAGAAAGTGTGATATTATTTGTTAAAATGCATAAAACTTATTGCAATATTATACCGAAAATAGGTTGGAGAAAAAGTTCTGTAAAATTTTGTTAGTTTAAATGATATGTAGAATATATTTGTTGCGAAATTTTCGATTACTTGACGTGAAAGCTTAAAGCTTTTTTTAAAAGTTCGTTTTTAAAAAAATATTCCTACGACTTTTTGTTACCAAGTTACACGCGGATTAAATAAAAGAGCATTCTGATTTTGATTGCTCATAATTCCATTAAAAATTATCGTACCGTAATTAATAAAACAGATTCTAAAAGCTGAAACTTAGCTCTATCGAATAATATCATGCTAATTTTTTTAAATGTAAAATATATAGATAGAAATTTGAGTTATAAAAATATGATATTATATTATCGTTATGATCATTGCGCAATGATTATAAGAACGGTAATACTACAGTTTTAGCTCAAATTTATACAGGGTGTCTGATAATTGTTCTGACAGAGTTTGTGGATATAAGTAGAAAGGACTAAATTGAGACGGAAAGTCCTCCATCATTTTGCAATTTTCGCAATAGTTAACAAAATATTAATTGCTAAAAATTGCCGAAAATTAGTTTTCAATAATTTTTTACTCAAATACTATCAACTCTTTACAGAAAAACTACAAGAGATGAAAATTATTAATTTTCTTCTCTATGAATTTTTTCAGAATTTTTTATCAATTTACTTTTATCAATTTACTTTTTAATACTGCATTCTCTCATTTTTAACAACATGAGAAGGTACGGTATTAAAAAATTCTAAAAAAATTCTTAGAGCTCTATGAGAAGAAAATAAACAATTTTCGTCTCTTGCAGTTTAGTCCGCTCTACATGTCCACGAATTCTCTCAAAACAATTATCAGACACCCTGTATATTCTTTTTTTTTTTTAATGGCAATTATAGTACTCAATAGAGCAACGTATCAGCTTTAAGAATCTATTTTTTTTTTTTTTTTTATTTAATTGTAGTACAAAATGATTTTTAATGGAGTTATGAGCAATCAGTCAGAATGCTTGATTTTTTTTCAGTATGGCATGTTTCTTATCCGTTGTACATTACAGAGAAACGTAAGTGCAAGGCGCAAAACGAACGGATCTTCATGCGCGCACACTGTTACGTATTACGCATGTATGTACATTTACACACACGGTATCATTCATTGCGGTGGCATAGATAACCTTGAAAAGGCCACCCTCGGAGCGTTACTACTTTAGCCGAATCCGCCAAAAAAGATTTACTTAGTCTCCAGCGGCGACGATTGGAGCTGATCTCGATGAAGCGTTGAGGCTTGAGGCAAAGTGCGATCCTTCTACGGCACGATACACACTCTGTTCTAAAAGTTCGAAAAGAAAGAGAGGAAATAAGAGTCGAGAGTGTGATGCGTCGTTGATTGTCGTCGCCAACGTTAAATAAAATGTCAACGTAAGATAGAATTGCCAAGGCTGGTGCCGTGTGTTGTTGGCGCGTTCGCGCGGCGGTATTGCAGGTTATATCCCGGTCACCGTGACTCCTCCGGGAGGTGCGGAGTGAAGATGCCGTTCGCGAGGGATTGAACGCCGTTCGTTGTTGAAACGGTACAGTCGGCGGGCAGCATGGTGCAGCGTCCGGTCACGTCTCGACGCAACGTCAGGATATTGCTCATCGGCGAGCGCGGCGTCGGCAAGACCTCCTTGATATTGTCCCTCGTGAGTGAGGAATACGCGGAGGAGGTTCCAAGTAAGGCCGAGGAGATCACGATACCGGCGGATGTCACCCCGGAGCAAGTGCCGACGCATATAGTCGATTACTCGGGTATCCTCGAGCATTCCTGTATTTCTCTCTTTTTAATTCTGTGTATCGCAGTGCTATACTGCTTCGTAATGTTCAAGATATTAAGACATCTTAACATGATTAGAAACTTAGACAATACGAAGGTTAGCTCTAAGGTTAGCTCTTATTTCAAAACTGCCTTAAGTAATTGTCTTAAGATAATAATATTATACTATAATCTCTGTGGTTTATACGTTTTAAAAAAGTTATACTTAAGGTGATTTTAGATATAAGGATTGACTATGAAATCCTAAAATCAGGATATAAAACAGTCTTTAATACATCTGTCTTGATTTTGGATTTTGTGCTGTCTAGATAATTTGTTAGAGAATTTGTTACATCAATTGTATCTCCTCCTGTCTTATATTAAAGCAAAAATTTGACGTTGTTTGTAGCCGTGGAGCAAACAGAGGATCAACTAGCAGAGGAGATTCAAAAGGCACATGTGATATGCGTAGTTTACTCCGTGGACGACGAGGACACTCTGGACAGAGCTGCCAGCTATTGGCTACCATTAATCAGAAGATGCTCGTCCGACAACCGGTGTCCAGTTGTGCTTGTAGGCAACAAGATTGATCTCGTGGATTATTCCACCATAGAGGTTTGCAGTCTCTTACAGAGATTTCAGTTAGCATCCTCATTTAGCACATATGTGTTAATGACTTCCACTTTTGCAATTCCAGGCTGTATATCCTATTATGAAAGAGTTCACAGAGATTGAAAGTTGCATAGAGGTAAGATACTGTTTTGCTGATAAATGAGAAAAATGGAAGAATATAAAAGAATGTTATATAAAAGAATATAAAAGTTATATAAAATAACGTTATATAAAATAATGTGATGTATCTCTTTCCAGTGTTCGGCAAAAACACTTCAGAATGTCTCGGAAACATTTTATTATGCACAAAAGGCAGTTCTGCATCCGACTACACCTTTATATAATTATGACACACAGGAGGTGAGATATTTATCTTATATTCCTTTAATTTAATATCTAAATTTTTTTTAAATTTAATCTCTTATTATTTCAGCTCACAGAAGAATGTAAAACTGCCCTACAGCGAATTTTTAAAGTAAGCGTTTCATATAAATATACAAAAAAAAAATCATAATTTTTATGATATAAATTATATTGTTTTTTTTCCCAATGCAGATATGTGATGTAGATAACGACGGACTTTTAAACGATATGGAGTTAAATGCATTTCAGCAGTGGTGCTTCAACACGCCATTACAACCACAAGTACTGGAGGATGTAAAAGCTGTGCTATCAAAAAACATCTGCGACGGTATATGTAATGGGTGTGTCACGATGAAAGGTGAGATATATTTTAGTTATTTCATATTAAATCTAAGCAAATTTACATAAATCATTCATTAATTGCAATTACATAGGTTTTATGTACTTACAATGTTTATTCATACAACGCGGAAGAAACGAAACGACTTGGGCTGTATTAAGGAAATTCGGATATAACAATGAGCTGCAAATGTCAAAAGAATATATTCACCCTTCGTACGTACAAAGATCACAGAGCTACTTAGAGTTCTTCCGATAAATGTCACTGAATAATTCCGGTTTTCAGATTGAAAATTCCATCTGGCTGCAGCACGGAATTATCGCACAAGGGACAGGAGTTTTTAACATTACTGTTTATGCAGCACGATCGCGATCGCGACGGAGCTCTCTCACCCTTGGAAATGGAGTCATTGTTTTCGCGATGTCTTTTCCCACCATGGGGTGATGAATATAAATACACCGTAGCTACGAACGAAAAGGTAGCGGTTCGCATCATCGTTACTTCTGACACTGATCGATTCTTTTTTATGAAAGTAGAAGAAGAAGCCAATGTGCTGATCGGCACGACGGTTTCAATAAAAATAAACTGTTAGATTTGAAACTTGATATAGAATAAATCGACAAAGAATATTAAACGATAAGAAACCGATATGTCGGTTTTAGAAATGGAAAAATATTAGACAACAATATGTATACATGTACATACTCGTATATTTGAAAGCACCTTAATTTGGCATAATGTGTGCGTAATATTTCACAGGGATGGATTACGTTCCAAGGGTACATGTGTCAATGGACATTGCTGACACTAACAAACGTTCGCAAAACCTTGGAATACATGGCATATCTGGGATACAACATGTATCACAACGAGTGTCAAACAAGCTCCATTGTCGTGACTCGTGAGAAAAAGGTAGATCTGGCAAAGAAGCAGTCCAGCAGAAATGTTTATACTTGTCATGTCATAGGACCGAAAAGTAGCGGGAAAACTACGTTATGTAGAACTCTTATCGACCCTAAACTCGAGGTAAATCACTGATTACTTTTCAGGAACTTCGACCAAAAAAACTGTCGCGATTAAATTTCTTTATGCGAAATTGTAGAAACTGAATGACAAGGAGGTACCATCGACCGCTCACGTTACTGTGAATACATTACATGTGTATGGGCAGGAGAAAACCATAGTATTGAAGGATATAAACGTGATGAATGTTCAGGATGCTTTAACGCCAGCGGAAATACAGTGCGATGCGGCTGCTCTTGTTTACGACGCCAGTAATCCAAAGTCATTCGAGTATATAGCGCGCATTTACATCGTGAGCATCGAGTCTTCTTGCATCTGCAACGATTGAAATATATTCACGATGATAAACAATGTATATGTCTTTGCAGAAATATTTCGCCGATAGTAAGATTCCCGTTCTGATAGTAGCGAATAAAAGTGACCTTTCTGAGGTAAAGCAGAGCTATCTGTTGCAACCGGCTGCCTTTTGCAGCAAGTACAAACTGATGCCTCCGCAGCCGTACAGCATCTCACGAACGATCCGACGTGAAATCTTCGTCAAATTAGCTACAATGGCAGCCTTCCCGTAAGTTTACCTATTGCACTTTAAGAACGGTATTAATGAAACTTTGTCGAATGGATCTCGGGCTGCCTCGATTCACATACAGTAGATATTTTCCTTTGCAGCTGACATATCTGAAAGTATAGATTACGCGTCGAGATTTTTAAAGCTTCTTCGCTTTTTTTTTCGTACGATATTTTCCAATGATTACTTTCAGAAAACAGTGTTTTACGCCGCACCTTCTCGTTCTTTTCTTGTAATTTAATTTAAGAAATAGTAGTGTAATATTAAAAAAGAAAAGAAAAAAAAGGAGATAATTCGGTATTAACAATAAGATATTTCGTGTTTAGCCGCTTTCAAGGAGCGTGGGTATTATTTTACCGAGACAGGTTGGTTCGAATTTCAATTTCACACTGTAAAAATCTAGAAGCTTGAACAAATCGTGAAAACTGCATTCAATTAATCGTCATATATTCCTCTCGATGCATGTGCTTACGGAGTTAACTTCGGATGCTTTCCAATTGCTTAAGACGTCTTGACATAAACATAGCGAATTAATTTACATATTTTCAGTATTAAATAATTTAACGTTTTGTCACGATAACTTCATGTACTGATTAGTAGCTCTCAGGCTGAATACAGATGTAGTGTTATGACGATGATTAAGACATTGGTGCAATTGAGTATAGATCGATTTTTATATTTTTTTGTATTAATAAATAATTTAATTTTTTTAAGATCATAAGTTTATCGTGACAACAAAGAATATGTAATTGAAAGGATTAAATTATTTATTAATACTGAAAATATGTGAATTAATTTGCTACGTTTTGTAAAGACATGTTAAGTAATTAGAAAGCATCTTCCATCTTCTCATGTTAAATGTGTCGGGCAATTTGCTCATATTAAAAAAATGTCATCGCACGGATCAAACGTTACAATATAATTGGCTCTTTTCAGTCATATGAGGCGTACAATCCACATGTTGCTTGTCGAATCCTTACCCTCTCCATGGTGGAGTTTCACAAGGTTTTATTTCACATTATTGCTTGTGTTTCTTCCTTGCGTCGTCCACATGTTTTAAGTCATAACTTAATAGCGTATACACCGCTTTTTTGGTTTCGTTCTTGCATGAGCATGTAACATGTAATGAATCTCTTACGAATTTTCTGTCAATTCAAACTGCTTTTCTACACATACTCTGAAACACATACTCGACACAAACTAAAAATAACATATCTATGTTGCAATTTTCCATTCAACAATGTAACCGTATTACATCATGCATATTAATTTATATTGTTAAGTGCGAAATTATAACATTAAGATGTTATTTTTAGTTAATGTCGACTGGATAGATACTCTAACAGGAAAAATTTTCCTTTCAATTTAATATCACTTGTATGATAAAACTGCATTGTCAATTTTGATCCGAATTTTATCAGTATTTATGTCTGTGTTGCTCGCTACATGTATCACTGAATATAATCACGATGTTTTGAGAGTACGACAGTATGGTTTTATCATGCTAGAATAGTCAACGTTTCTTGCGCGACTGAACGACAGTGAATCTTGTGCTTCGACATTTCAGGCATATAAATCAATTCGGCCTAATGCAAGGGGACTCCTTGGTCTGGTGGAAAGCAGGATTGGGAATCGCGATCGCCACGATCGCCGGCTACGTGATGATGCGCGTATTGAACACAGAAAAAAGATAGTCTATCATATTCGTGCTATTTGTGCGTGTTTAACTGCCTCTTCTCGTCGAATAAAAAAAGAGCCGTATTATAGATAACCGCGATATATAGGAGGAATATATAAATATATAAATATATATATATATTCATAAATCACACACTAATTTTCGAAATATACAATAGCTAAGTATTAGAGAAAACTATATGATAAAGTGCAAATATTTGAGGTGCGCTTATTTGGTTCTGGTCAGAATATCGAAGTTTTTATTTGTCGAATCCTCATCCCAGTATGGGATCCATCTTACAAGAGCTATTTTCTTCTGTAATAAGTTATTTGTTTAATGTATTGTAATATAAAGTGGGAAAAAATGTGAGGCATTGTCTATACTGTCTATTTCTTGTTCATTTCACACAATCTACTATTTTAGTGAATTTTAAGGTGTGCGAATATATTCTAAATTCTCGAAAAATGATGCGATTAGGTATTTATAATTTTCTCATTAATAACTAAATTAAAGTGTAACTTTATTCAAGTTTTAATTTATTGCTATATTGTAACATACATATGTTCGTGTATAATTCAGGAATTAAAGGCAACTGCCAACTACAGAATTTAAAGAAGCAAATTTATTACTATCTTATGGATTGATCCAGGACTATTTTATTCTACAATGTGTAACAACAGTAAAAATAAACAGAAATTTCGTTAACAGTCTACAGATCATAGAGCATGTACTTCAATTTCGCCTAGACATTTCTAGATTCGCCGCATTTCAATTTACATGATATCTGAAAACAGAAAATACATGAAACAATTAGACAGCAATCTCTTTACACATGTCTATCTGACTACAAAAGCCTGATAATCTTCAATGTGTTCTTTCCTTTCTGTTTCTTGTTTTTTTTTCTCTTTGCAATCGTTTTATCACGGTTCTTGTTTCTTCTGAAATTCGCCAAATTTTATCTCAGGCAGGAAACGAAGAAACAGGATATAAAGGAGATAAAAAGGCAAGAGTAATACAAAGCAAGAAACATGAAGCAAAAAGTACATTGTAAATGCTTTCTAGCAAAACACAGAATGCTTTCCATTAGTGACACAAGTCAATAAAAAAATTATTTTTTTTTTTTTTACATTCAGTGAGTATCGAAAAATAGAATGATACTTGTGCTGCGTTCATAATTGCATTTCTTGTTTAATTTTGAAACAAGGATGAAATGATGTTTAGTACGAACATCAAGTGGAATCCCAAATGGAAAACATCCACATTGACAAACAGTGTAACATTTTTGTCTAACATTGGCAAACAACAAGGATGTTAATAATTAACTATACTATACCGTATTACTTGTGTCTATTGCTAGAAAGTGTCTAAAGATAAGAAGGCAAGATTTACTAACTGTTTGCTAGCTTGCATTGACGGAGCGCTTCATTGAATCCCTCGCAGAGGCTCAAGTCATGATTCTGAGCGCATTCCAGGAACTGCTTGACCTCCCAGGAACAGGCACCAGCGGCTGATGCCGCAGGAGTGTTTTGGGCAGCAGCTTGTGGTACTTCTGCGGCAGCAGGAGTAGCAGCCTCGCTGCCTCCACTGAAGAGCCCTGTCATGGCATGACCGAGGGTATGTCCCACGGCAGATCCGATGGCGACACCACCAGCAGTGGCAGCCATTTGGCCCATGAGGGACGGCTGCTGAGGCTGGGCCACCATTGGTGACGTTGGCGAGGCATGGGCTGGCACTCGGGACGGGGCTGGCGCGGCCACGGGTGAACTCTGTCTCACACTGAAACGAAGACTACTTTTCAGAGGATTCGTTTAATACCGCATTCGGGAGGAAAACAGCGACATTTAAGGTTTCTGCGTCAGAGACGCACGTGAACCTTGCCATAGTGACGTAACAGGGAGCGCCAATGAATAACGACGTTCCCGTCACAATGAACTTATTATCTTGCCATTAAAGATACGTTAATTACTCACGTTCTCGGAGGAGGAGCGGCAGCACGTCCACGTCGTGGCATCTTTCTCAAATTTCTTTGGATCGCGTTACAAAAATACGAGGAAGACTCGTGAAGTGACTTGAAATTACGTTAACAGCAATCACACCTCACCCCTGACTCGGCTGATCACGATAGACTGACTAAATACCAGATAGACGTTGCGCAGTCTTTCGCGATTCAGCAGTCAGTTTGTGCAATCGAAATAGAGTCCCTAGAAGTAAGAGCCTGGTAAAAGGTATTCCTCTATTTTTGCGAGCTATCGCTTTTCATCAAGTTGATGACTGCTCCAGCAGAAAGAGCAGCTTTGCAATTGTTATAAAATTCTTTAGGCTCGATTGCACCGATTATACAAATTGACAGTTGTGTAAACGCACATGTGTATAAGCATATATACGTACGCCATGTTTGATCAAATTGTCCGGATTTTTACTTTAGGGACTCTAGATAGCCGAAGTAGCGGAAAGCGACACTCGTGACTCGAAGCTGTTTCTCGAAATTTCCGTTGATTTCTGCCTCTCATGATAACGACGTGTCTCTCTAAGAATATATGCACTATAAATAAATTGATCCCCGAGATTTTCCGTATTTCCACAAGCGATCGTAGCCACGTAAAAATTGGCTAAGATATACATTGATAGTTTCATATTAATCGTTTCTAATATTCTTCCTACGATTCACATACGTTTGTTATGTGCAATTAAACTTTTTTCCCCAGCATATACATAAATACGTGCCTCTTTCTCTTTTTCTCTAATGTTTAATGGCAAATGTTATTTAAGGCTACGTTTCAAAACTTCCTCTCCGAGGAAGATTTTACTTGTATATGCTATAGTATGCGTCACGTGTACTATATATTTCGAGAAAAATTTTCCTCAGAGAGGAAGTTTTGGAACGTAGCCTAAGATATTATCTCGAGATTGTTACTTCATTATTAGAATGGAGTAAAATTGATATAAATTGGTAGAGGATCGAATAACGTGAAGCAAACAACAATCGATAATGTAAAGTTTTTGTTGTTCGCACGTTTCAAGAAATAACAATTGTTGAATTGTACGATTATATTCCCTCCCCTTTTTTTTTAACTTTCCCCCCTCTCGTTTTCAGGTTTGTTGATTCGGCGATAACAGCTGATCGTGGAACGTAGGGTAGAGTGACGTAGGGGCTCACAAAATATTGAAATAAATTCCACACACTTCGCTGCAATATACATTCCTACGTATGCGTATGTACATGTAAAGTAGAATTTGTTAATAGAAAATCGCGCTGATATTGAAAGCAAAAATAAAATGCTGAAGCCGAAGGCGCTCACGCAGGTTCTCAGTCAGGCGAATACCGGGGGCGTGGAAAATACTTTGTGAGTAAGAATTTTGCAGCGATCAGCATCAATAAGAGTGCCGTGTAAGCTGATTTCTTTTCGGTATAAATTCGCTTGCAGTATTCCCGGTTTCATTCTAAAAACATGTCATTCGTACAAGAGTAACTTTGCACTAAGTGGAAATATGTACCTTTCTTTTTTCTTTTGTTAATTATTCTTGTGCACGAAATTTTAGAAAATCGATGTCTCAGCCCATCCACAGCACAGAATTTACAGCAATATCGCTGCAACTTTTGTGCAATTTTTGTGCTGTAAGAGAGTAATATTAATAATAACGCTGTAAAGATATATGGAAAATTCTACAATCCTACATCTGCGTTATACCAGAATGTTTTCATGTTTTAAAGTACCATTACATAGATATTGATTACACATTTATATATACATTTCAGGTTGCTCAACAGAGATGGTGGATTATTAGCATACAGTGGTTACGGGGATAAGGACGCTAGGGTTACAGCTGCTATTACGAGTAACATTTGGACAGCTTACGAGAAGAATGGGCGAAATGCCTTCAAAGAAGACGAACTGCAGTTCGTTCTCATGGATTGCATGGTAGTAACGGATTAGAGTTTTCTTAACTGTTTTATAGAAGCCAAAAAATTATACTCTTTCTGAATTTTATAGGAAGGAAAAGTCGTTATCACGGAGGTAGCCAATTTACTCTTGTGTTTGTATGCAAAGGAGAACGTAGGATTTGGATTACTGCGCGAGAAAGCACAGGCATTGGCCAAGTATCTCGATCAACCCTTAAAAACAATAGCAAATATGCCTTGAATGACTATATCACAATCGATTCACTTTCAAGAGTCTGCAGTCGTGCTCGAGAGATTACGAATTTAACTTATAATATTTATGGTTTATAATGGAATTTGTAAGTTGTAACTGTATGTGTATAAATATATTTTTTATTAATCCGAAGTATCAGCTTGCGTGCATTTCCATTTTTTAATACGTGCATTTGTACACAATTGTAAATGCTATATGAATATAGAGACAAATACAATAATATATAAGTGTATATAGATAAATGAAAGTAAGGGCAAAAGCCACTCTTTAATGTATATAATAAATCTTTTATTTCATATAAGTTACAATTAATACAAACAATTTGCGTTTAATTTTTTATTTCACTTTACAAATCACACTATAATCATAAGGACTACTTAACGTAAGCTCACCTATCGGAAATATAATGTCAACAGTTGCCGCATGTGTGAATCACTATTATTCAATGCATAAAGTTGTTACCAATTTATAATGTCGGAACATAGACTTATAAGACTGGATTGGCGAAAAATCAAATGAACAGCGTTAAACATCTACGTTCTTCTTCGTCATTTACTGCGAATTGCACTACTAGGGATAAGAGTTATTGCATAGAAAGTTCTAAAGTTCTATATCTTTATCATACCGGAATATTTATACTTTTAACTATCGTTAAATAAATGATTTTGATTACGTTTCGCGTTACACATCCATGTACATACAAGGACGCGATGGATG